TGCTTTAATTTCTGCCATATCTTCTTTGTTTGGAAATTAGGCAACATTCTGGGATATGCCTTTACATTCAAAGGGATTAAAACTAATAATAATATTTCATTAGCCTTTAAATAAAAAGAAAACATAGGCTTAAAAGCAAGTCTTAACAGTAGGGTTGCAGAACAGGAGGTGAAGGCTCAGAAGTTCCATCATGCAAGAGAACCTACAGGAGTTCCTTCAGTGGCAAAGGGACAGAAAATGATCTAAAAAGCTAAAGTTTAAAAAAATCTATTATAACATAATTGCATTTTAACTACCTCAAGTCCTCATGCAAATAGATGCACATGCACAATGACCAAACTTTATTATGCTTTTTCAGAATGTTTCATAATAGGAAATGAAAATGTGTTCTGGCTCTAGAACATTCTCACCCCAAAGAGTCGAGATCTGCAATTTAAGAACCAAAACAGCTAGCATTTTGGCAAATGGTATTACACAAGCAGTTAAACATTCCATAGCACGCCATGAACAATGAAAGAGTTGCGAAGCACAGATCAGGTTTCCTGTCCCAAAGGGTTTACAATTCAAAGGCAGACTGGTACAGTACCATTGAAAAAAGTGGCAGGCTGTCTCTATAAATGAAATGAATTAGAGAGAAGCTCTCTCTGTGGAAGGCATATACGCAGCCCCCATAGTATTGGAGCATCTCACAGTTTTTTCATGTCTTCAGCTTGCCTACAAAGCAGGAAATAAGATACAGGAAGACCAAGGTCAAGACCTACAAAAGAACTTAGTTTTGGATTTGGTTGCATAAATCCTGCCTATGATCCGTAAAACTCCCACTAAACTGGTAACCAACCCTAAAGGACCCCAGTTTTTAACATTACGTTTTTCCAGTCACCTAAAGTTCCACATGTCCAGAAGTATCTCAGTCTCTCTCAATGCCAAAGCCAATCATCCCTCTTAAGATCCACCACACAATGCATAAACAGTCACTGGAGGTGGGGGACTGAAGCACAAGTGTTCCCCCTTTCAGAGGCCTACGCTAACCACTTAACTAAAGAAATCAACTCACTCTTGCTCCCTCATTCCAATTAAACTTAGATTAGACAATGCAAGAAGTGCCCTCAACAAGAGACTAACCATAAGCAGAAAACATGAGTTATGAGACACTAAACTTTGATTGTCCACACACTGGGATACTACTTTAACCGCCGTGCTTCTGGATAAAAAGTGCCACCAACCAGCAGCACCTCTTCCTTTGGCCAAGCTTCAAAAGAAAGAATGAACTTCCCTCTTCTCTCTCTTTTTTTTTTTTTTTGTGGGGGGGGAGGAGAACATAGGAAAGGTCCTGGACTCTGAATATTCAGAGTACAGAGGCACCTCCTAGTGGTGCCAAGTAAGGTGCCCAAGACCTAGAAACAGATGGCATCTAAAACACAACCCTGTCAAATACCTTCTGCAGCTTCTCACTCAGCATGCTGATTTTGTGGCTCCCATTCCCAGGTTCCTAACCTTCCCTGTGTATCACTTAGCTGCCTAACTCAGGACTGAATCCTACTCAGGAGACTAAAAGATAGGCACCCTGGCACTGAACGATAGCACCTAAGTCCCGTTGAAGATGGGGGCTTAAGTGGCTTGTTCAAAATCAAATAGGAAGTCTGACAGAGCATGGATCTACGTCTCCCAGTTTTTAAGCCTGAGAGAGGACTATAAACAGACCATCTTTCCTCTCATGATGCACTTTGCGTGTGTTCATTTTACAGTCTGCTGCAGGCATGAGGCGGCAACATGGAAGAGGTTGTGTGTCGACGTCTTCCAAATTCTGATCTAGACAGAACCAAAAAAGGCAAATAAGTTTGGTAAATGCCTAAAGATACCATTGACACGAGCGATAATCTTGGAATGCCTATACAGCAGTCAGGCACGTTCTACTTATAATATTTACACCCTGATTTTTAGATTAAAAAAGAAACTCTAAAAAGACACAGTTCAGTATTTAAATGCTGAACTTGTACAGCTGTGCCAGCATTTCAGTACAGGCCACGCTATAGCATGTAAATGGAGGTTTCAGAGTTTCTTTCTTAACTGTCTGGTCTGGATCATCTGATATACAGATTCTGCATCAATGGACTCATCCATTCAGAGTTCACGTGACAAAATTGTAATCAATGTTTTGTTCTTGTTGCACATAGCCTAGAGAATCTCCTACCCTAATGCAGTAGAAACACCTGTTTGTTGAACAATCATCTAATATTAATACTGAAGTTTTTAAAACACTGGAGTTAAAATTTTAACTTAAAGACCTTCAACTACACCTCAAATGCTAGAGTAACCAGTCACAAAAGCTTGAGAACATAGCCCAAGATGTCTTAGGTAATGTCCTCCTTCCACTTGCATTGTAATGCCCTATCTGCCTTCCATACAGGATTTCCAGGTCCACCACTGTATTAAAGGTTTTGCCATTCCTTTGTTGCCTCTTGCTGCATTCCTTTCCATCCTTCTGCTTCAGAGCATAGGATTCTAGTCATATTATACTTTTATTCCACATACGCACAGAAGAGCAGCAGGGAACAGCAACAGCATGGAAATCAAAGGCTTAACATTTTGGGGGGTGGAGAGGATTAGTGACCTATAGTTGCAGTATATAATTTTAAAAGATTCTTGCCCCGTTAACCTAGTTACAAATCCACTAGTAAGCAGCAATTCAACACAAGTCACAACAGATATTCTGCCACCAGTGTTCAACCTCAAAGGTATAAAGGAAAATGGGAATAGAAAAATATATGGAGGAATGTAAGAAATTTAAGGGGGAAAAAAAAAATCAGTTTTCAAGACTAAAGCCTTCTTTAGTATCATTCTCTGCCCTACACTCTCCCTTTGGGGACTCTCTATCCCTTCTTTCTTTTCTAGATGCATTCCCCATGATTTTCATTAATTTTCTTTTTTCTTCTGTCCTGCAGGTCAGCACAAGACCCTCTTCACATTTCATGGTCTCCCCCACCCTTCATTTTTGATGGTTGCTCCCTTTCTGGTTCACACTATTCCCATTTCTTTCTTTGCTTTTTCTCGGGCTTTGTCTACATAGCAAAATAAAGGATGAATTGCAACATAGAGGTAGCTAGCACAGATAACAATAGCAGCTAACACAGTGTGGCAAGGGCATAAGTATAAGCTCACAAAGACCCACGGGCACATCCTGTGGTTGCTAGACCATGCCACCACAACTTCAATGTCAATTAAAGCTGTGCTAGCTTTACCCTAACAGTGGATAAGTTTTCCCATGCTACAATCCCTCTACCATTCTTCTGTGCAGACATATTCTTACTTTCATCTCCTTGCTTCTCACCTCTTGATATTTCCAGTTTCCATCTGCCCCAGTTTTTGGACCATAGTCACAGGCCACAATTGCTGGAAGGTTACAAGTATGGGTACCAAGCTCAAGAAGTACCCACTTATCGGCACCAAAAAAAGAATGCAATCCTTGAAAAGAAGTGTGCAGAGGAATGCTGGCATCTGAAACTGATGTGTACTGAGCAGTCTTCAGATATCATACAGCTGAACAGCTTGAGTAAATCAACAAAACCAGAGAAATTCAGTTATTGCATCACACAAGAGGTAAGAGATCACAACATCCTGCTACCCTGCAATAGCTATTCAGAACAGAACCAGTTAAGGACAAAGGATCAGCTTCAGCATGTTCCACTGCTTCAGCAATTTAATCACAATCAACTACGGTCATTTTTTTTTTGTATTGTCTGGTGACTTCAGTGTCTAAAATGTCCCTCTTCCCTCACTGAAACTTTCTGACTACAGTCACCAACAAGAGAAAAGATAATGCAGCAGGATTTAAAAGCTATTTGGAAAGTCAAAGAAATTATTTTAATTAGCATGGGCTAGTGAGATTTCATAAAGAATTTAGCATCAGTGAAAAGAACTCAGTGGGTTTATATTATTCCAAGAGATCATTAGCAAAGATGTTCAGAAGACAATTCAAACTGTTGAGCTATTCCACGGTCTAGATGCTCTGGAAGGCTTGCTCTCTCGGACTGGTTTAAATAGCAATTTCAGGAGGGCTTCAGAGAAGCATAAGAACAGGGTCCTTCAGCATTCACTTTTGATAAGGATTCATTTGCTTTGCTGTTGCACACACGGCTGCTATTCTACGTTCTAGATCCAGTTCCATCTGAAGCTCCCCATCAAGTAGCAAACCCTGTATTTTAATATCTGAGCAAGGTCCCTATTGTAACATCAGGCGACATCTGGGTGCGGCATCTGAACTCCCGATATATCAACATTTCCATCGCAGACCTGTATTATCAGGGGCTTCCCAACCCAATCGTAAAAATCCCAATTCAACCTGAAACCCGGCACATTTGGTCTCTAGCTAGAAACCTGTTTCTCTCAACGCGCTCCCGATCTCTAGCTTGCAGACGCTGTTGTTTCTGCATTACCGGCAGTAAACAGCATGGTACACGAACGGCCACTTTTGGACATGCTCAGCCTCCTGTCGATTTAAAATGGCTCGTTTCAACAAAACAAGACTGCGCGCATCGCTCCAAAACCTTAGCCACCTGCCCAAGGGCCAGCACAAGTCCCCAACGGCACGCGGGCCAGCCTGCCGCCAACCCTGGACGTGGCTGGAGGCTGCGAATGCGCAATCCCAGCCTGGGCGACAACAAACCAAGGGACACATGCGGGCTCCCCTGTCTGGTCCGCGGCACCGTGAATGAATCAAGAGCAGCGCCTGCTCAGGCTGAAGGGACCAGAAACACACACAAAAAAAAAAGCAACAAACCCGACAACCGTGCCTGGCTTTGCTCGCTGTCTGTGCTCAGCCCGAGTGGCTTCAAAACAAGGCAGGATGCGGATAAATCTTGACAGCCGAGAGCAGGCACAGGCTCCCCCGCCTCCCCCGGGTCGGAGCGCGGCGGCGCGAGGATGGCAACGGAAACGAGAGGAGCCGGGGGGCACATCCAGACCCTCGCCCCCCAGCTCCCCGGAGCGGGGGGACCCCTTACCTTGCCTGTGGCCGGGCCCCGCGGCTGGCAGCGGATGAGTCAGTGGCGGGTTCATCTGCAGAGGAATGACTCAGGATCAACTTTTACCCGCGGGCGGCGCGCGGCTGCCGGGGCCCCGCTCCCCCCGTGCCCGGCGC